GAACTATCCCTATAAATCACACTTTTTTTCTGTATATACAGTATTTTATTATAACAAATCAGTTAATTCTCATAAAATCCTGGTAACATTTTCGAAGTGAAATAATTTTAAAAAGACTCAATATGTCAGTGATTATCACCAGAAGAATATTTATTTATCGTAATAAAATAGCTGGATTATCTACCTGTGTTGTCCATAAGAAGAGCAAATAACAGGAACAGCCTAAATGCCATTGTCGCAAACAAAGTTGTCTCTCAAACCGTTTCTGTGCGGGTCTCAGTTAGGGAAGTTAAATATGTGAGAAGTGTGACTTTGAGCCACGTAACCACATGTAGGAAAAACTTCTCTGTCATTTCCGCTAGCGCTCTAGTGCTAGTTCAAGTCAAACAGAGGACTGTAACATAAACAAAATATATTACTCCTTTGAGAGCACGTAAAAAGAAATTCCCACCTAAAGAGTCACAGAATCAAAGATGGTCCAGAGCAACATAGCAAAATCAAACAAAACAAAATTATTGTACTAATTTACTTGAAAAATGAACATTTGTTTTCATTCCACATTGTTCATAGCTATTACTAAAGCATGTCAATTTAGTTTGATTGAAGGGCTGTTATAGTTCTGATTATTTTCTCTCTTTTTAAGTCATGGGTCTTCGCTGTGTTCCAGTTCACCTCACCTCTCACTTTGTTAACACCTACACACTTCCTGTTAGTACACAATCAATCCATTTTCAAAACACCCCCCACTGGTTATGGACCCCAATGTGCACACAGCTTCACAATATAACATATCCAGCACGATGTAGTAATATGCTTATAACATGAGACACTATAAACTGTTACGTCCTAAGGATGTATTCTGTGTATAAACGTGTTTGAGTATATACGTTTCTCTGTATGAGTATTATTTTTGCTTTTGTGCTCTCTGGCTGCGTCCGAAACCGCCTACTCAATGAGTACGTACTTAATTTCATTAAGTACTTACTTAACGAGCGCTAAAAGAGTAGACTCTACAGCCAAATCTCGTTAAGTATGAATGCGATCCAGGCAGGGCCGTTTCTAGCCAATTTGAGGCCCTAGGCAAAATCCCTATTGCCCTATATAAAAAATTATTTTCAGACACCAGTTGCTTGTCACATTCAGATTGGTTGTCATAGTAACGGCACTAATTTGTGGAGATTCAGTGCATTGAGTTCCACAAATCTGAATGCATTATTTGTAAATTGACTGTTAAGATAAATATTTGATTTAAATATGTGACGATTCAAATCGGTTGAGATGCTAAACAAATCGCGATTCAATTAGGGGCAGGAGTTTATATGAATGCATGTCTGAGG